ACTTTACTTTTACTTTTATTAAAATGTATGAAATAAATAAATAAAAGGAAAATCGAGATATTTTAGTCTGCAAGTTTCCTTTTAGAATCTCGCCGGATTTAGATCAAATTTAGTATTTTACGTATCGTTAAATTTATTTTGGTTTACATCGGCTAAACACAAATTCAACTTCCCTTTTTCTGTCTTAAGTACTAGCATTAGAATCTAAATAATATTTTCTACATTTTAAAAGTGTTGTGTGACACAGGCCTTAAATTTTGCATTTTAAATTACAGACTTATTTAGTGGTTTCATAAGCTTTTTAGCCGAATTGCATTTCACTAAGTGACTACCAAAGTCAAGAGCAGATAATATATGCGGTTCAGTAAATCTGAAAATTGTCACAGTTTTATCCTTAATCGTAGTAGTAAAGATTCTGTTATTGGCAGAAAATTATCTATCGGAAACCTTCGTACTTTTCTAAAAGACCAGAAAAGAAGCATCTACCTGAAATTGTGATACTCGTTTGACCATTCAAAAAATTCCGCGTATTTTATGGACTGCGTTCGTCAAATTAAGGCACTGAACTCAGTCTTGAACCGATTTGCATGCAGATTCTGATTTCCTGGATTGAAGTCCTCTTTTGTCGATGATTACAGAGATTTTTAAGGAATTATCTTCCTTTGATTTCAGGGTTCCAAGGTAACGCAGGTATCTAAATAGTTAATCCGCGCGTGTGGCGCAAATCCTGAATTATTTTCCTACGTCATTCATCCTGTTGTTTATCAATACAATTAAATCAGCTAATAGAAATTACAGCAAACCCGTGCAACTTTGCAGAAAATAATTTGCAGCATTCGCCTACAGCTTCATTCAACTGTACGTGAAACAGAACACGCTCAGAACGTGTTATTTCAGACGTGGGGGTGAATTACGAGCGGGTGGTTGCTACTTGAAGTGAAAAATTAGGATCGTTCTTATTTTAAATAAATACTTCAGTAGACAAATTAGCCTGAAAAGATGTGCGACCATGCAGTCAAGACGTACGTATTCTAAAATTGGAATAAAGTTATTGTCTTTAAATTCGAGTCATCTCAGAACGTTGAAGAATAACATTTTCACATTAATTAAACTTATCATCTCATTTTCTCATTCCACAGACGACTAATCCGTGCTATATTATTTTAAGTATCTGAAAACGCTTTAATAAATTTCTCTCGGGCTACCAACCGTGTCACGTGCTTAAAAGTCTAGAAATCCAATGTTCTTGTCCTCAGTTTACTGACGTGGCTGGAGACCGAGGCTGTCTCATGAGAGCGCTGTTTGTGAAGAGTTGATTGGGTCCCTTGCTAAAGGTTTACACTCAAATATCTTGATAAAATTAGTTTATAACCATGCACAGATAATGCAGCTATAAACACAGCATTCTTGACCTCAGCGCTGGGGGAAAGAAGATGGGGTATGCATCAGATAGGAGACTGGGTGGGCAGCAGTGCCAGTCTGGAGAATATAAAAATCTCTTTCCCGTGGCGGAAATCGAACGCCCGTATTCCACCCCATAGCCTAGTCACTCTTACGTAATTATTGATAACGATTCCATTTCGCAACATTGCAAGATGCTGGCCTCGCCGGCTATCAATTACTGCGATAGTCAAAGTGTCCAGACCTGTTTTAATGTGACCCGAACAATGAAGCATAAATTGTATCAGTTCGGCCTCTGAGCTGGAGCTGAGCGGACACTTTGGCTACGGACCGTGCGAGAGACATACATTCGTCTTATGCAGAGTTATCTGAGACTGATTCATCGGAGAACAGCTGTCACAGCTTTGCGGTGCTATTGTAATTTAATACTTCGGTAAAATCTGAGGCGAACGGGATGTTGTACAGGTAAGGTAAAAAGGATATAAACACTTTATAAGAACTAATTTTTAGAATAAAACAACTTAATTAAATTATTATAAAGAATATTGTGATATAAATACTTGAATTTCATAAGCTGACGTATTTTACTTGTTTTTTTTTATAATTTTAGTGAGAAAATTAAACATATTGGGGAGAAAATTTGGTTCGAAAAAAAATCACAAAAATGCAAAATGACGATCTTTAGAATTTGTAGAATTTTTTAGTCATGTATTATTTGTGTGATGAAATCCACTGAGGATAAGCTGGACTGGAAAGAAAGCACGCACTGTAGAAACAGAAAAAAAAATTATACAAAATTTCGAGGCTCGCTGCATTCATCACTGTAAGAGACAAAGATATAGACTCTCGCTCAATCAAATTAATTGTTCTGATTGTAATTAAAGAACAAGACCGACCCTTCCTAACGTCACTAGCACAGACGTGACAAAATAAGATTTACAACAGCCTCTGTTCAATCACCCCTCCACTGCGAGATTAACACAAATTAACACGACACGACTGCAGACACCACGCCTCAGCCCCATCAAAAAAAAACGACTAAACTAACACAACCGATCTACGAAAAAATGTTACGAAAGGAATTTATTGCTTAGATACCAACTGTGCGAAGTATTTTATTTGAAAAGAAAGTCGATTGGTTGAGATGTCAGTTCAGCCGATGATAACATTTCTGTAGGTTTGCAGTAATAACGTCTAATTCCTGTTTGAGACGAGGGTTGTGACGAGAACGCGTGACCTTAGGTCACAGGAAGTAAATGATGGCTTGAAACAAACTGCGCAGAGAAATTTTATAATTTCTATTTCTCACCAAATTCTATGCCTATTAAGATGACGAAATCAAGGAGGATTTCATGGGTGCAACATGTAGCACGAATGGGAGATATGATAAATAAGTTTTATTCATAAATAAGAAGGGACATTGCGGGACTGAGTGAATTATTTAATAATATTTAGATGGGTTTCCGGAAGTTAACTCGCATTTCTGTTTGTTCTTTCAGGGACAGAAGATGAGTCCAGAACATGACGTGAGGTGACGGAAGCAATCAGACCGGCAACTCCCTGCTTCAGAGGGTCTCGACCAGCCGCCAGTCCACCAGACACTTCACAACCATCGGCAAATTATGACGGCATCCTCATCACCAAAATCCTCATTCTGTAAAATCGGACTGTGTTCACGTCAGAAGCCTCTCAAGGTGATGGTTCTCGGTCAGGGCGGTGTTGGGAAGTCCGGTGAGTGCCTGGAGAAAATCTCGAATCCTGAAGCAGGATGTGTTCTGCATAACCTACGCATTAAGCCGTGTTATCTATCAACAGTTGGGAGTAATTCTGACAATTTCTCTCTGTTTCTGCTTCTAAATCTTCAATTCGCGATTAATAATGTCTTATAAATAGCTCACAATAGACCCTGATGATGGAGGCAGTACGTACCATATTACACGTCACTTCTGTTCTTATTTTGGAGGTCACGGATTCAAATCTCGGGCCCATGAACGGCTCTTATATTTTATGGCTTTCCTCAGGGCTTCCGGGTAAATTCTGGGATATAACTTTACATTTTTTTTCATTTCACGAAATGATTTCAATTCCCCCCATCTGAATGATTTATTTTGAAAATTCACATTTACAGTAGTACATCCCCTTCAGGTTTCCGACAAAAAATTTTATAAGCATTTCTCATTTTTCACAAGCCTTACATATTTTAATTTTAAGCAGGAAAAAATAACATACACGTAACACCAATAATGTCGATGGTCATCTGTAAGTAGGATTAGACCGGCTGTAGACCAGCTATCTGGTATGTATTTATACCTATGTCCTATTTGCGCAGTAAATGTGAAATTCTATCGGAACTCATCAACAGAGAAAGTATTTCAGAATTCTACACAGAATGCGTGTCACCCCTCACTCACTTTAGTTCATAGAACCATTAGATCTGGTGAACAGACACGTCATTTAAAGTAAAACTTCGATGTATAATCTTTGTAACGATCAGAATGAGAAATAAATAAATAAATAAATATATATTTTCGATGCTTTACAAATATATTTAAGGCCAGAAATCAATATACAGTCGCGCATTTGGACGGGCAGACAGTTAAAAACGTCATACGACAAAGGGGATTTTTTTTAAACGTAGAAGCTTTGCAGGAACACGGGGTTGTCATGACAGAATTCTAATTTTAGTGAAACTGGTACCGACGATGTATTGCGTCAGAATACAAAGTAGAATATAAATTAGCAATAACACGCGTACAGTGACAAGCAGGTAATTACATCAAAGCACTACGTTCGCGAGAGAAATAATTATAAACTAAAGTTAGCTTTACCTGTGTTATAACGTAATATAATCATATAAATGGCTTTAAAACAGTCCATCATTCCTCTTTATACAGACTTTATACTTTTAGCCTCGTGTTAACAGAGGTACAGAGGCTGGTGATAATCCTTTTTCATAGTTTAAACTACTCACCAGACTACTATGGTGATAAAGGCAAGGAAAATGAAATGATATAGGTACGTATCACTTGTGGAAGAAATTGAAAAATGCTTATAAATTTTTAATTTCAAAGTTTCAAGGTAAGAGATCACTTACAGAACTAGACGTGGATGGAAGGATAATTTTAAAATTACTATTACAAGAATTTTGTGGGCGTGTGGACTAGATTGAGCTGGCTCAAGATACGAACTGATGGCCACATCTTGCGAAGACGGTAATGGACCTTTTTGTTCCATAAGCGTTGGGGGGTATTTGTTGACTAGCTGAGTGACTGCTAGCTTCTCATTATAGAATCTGTAATTAGTCTGTGTTTAACCTCACAGATTATTTAAAGTAAAATTTAAAAACAAGCGTGCAAAGTGAAAATAAAAAGGCATGTCCAAGGAAGAATAAGGAAAAGAAAACTTTTTGATGACGTAAAGCGAATTTCTTACGGATGCAAATTCTAAAGATTTTCAAACGACGGATCAGAATTGTAAAGGATTAATAATTTACTCTGGGATGTTGCGCTGTTTTGTCTCCTAGCAGACGTTTCAGAGGTGTTTACTGCTGCCATCATCAGGACGATTATATGACTTTTATATAACTGGAAGATTCAAGCAAGATCTGAGTGTTCATCTGTAAGCCTAAACCCTGTTTTAAAACGATACAGAAGATAATATTTGTGACGTAACTGACGCAGAGAGATATGCAGAAATACAGATATTCGGGAAAAATTAAATTATACAATACTGCAAAAATGTATTATCGCTTAAACTGAAAGTATCATAAACTGTAGCTGACAAATATAATCACAAAGAATATTTCTTCCTGCCCTAGGCAAAACTTACTTTCAAATTTTGAGAGTTGTATTTCAATGAATTATCACTTAGAAATGAAATAATTTATTGGAAAATGTTAACCATTTCTTCTTACGTGATACAGGATTTAGAGTTAATTTTCTGTGAAAGGCGAACATTTTGCCTTGACTGTACCTATATTTTTACGATGCTGCCAACGTAGATCATTTTTCACTGAAAACAAATATTCCCTGTTTTCTTTTTTTCCCCTTATGCTACTCAATTCAGAACGTTAACGCTGTGATGACGTGACATGAAATTTTCCTGAACCACACACAGAGAGCTAATTAGTAACGCCTCCGTAATATCTTTGCAGCTTCGCAGTAAAATGTTCTTCAGCGATGAAAAGACGAATGACAAGACCAAAAATAAATCGCCCATCTTTAAAATAAAAAAGTTTAAACGCGAAATAATCAGTCCAAGGATTGTCACTTCAACCCCTCGACTTGTTAGCTGATTTTGTCTCTCAAAATGCGAACAGAACTAATTTAAATAATTAAAAACAAACGCCTCTAATCTACCACAATCCTTCACGTCTGTTGTCCCATAATCACGTATTTGAATCTAAATTCTAAGCCTGGATTAGGACAGAACAATGAACATTGTCTGGACACCCGTTCACTGGGGCGGAGAGAGCTTTACAGAGTATCAGCTCATCGTGAAACAATAACACTTTCTGTGGGAGGCAATGCGCCGACAGTTTCAAACAAGTAGGTTTACTGCATTTCAGTGATGTTTATGTGGAAAAAATTCCATCAGCGCTGTCTTTTTCCTGGTTGTTTAAAAAGAAATGTGAGCTTATAAATTAAAACTGTAAGTTAAAATCCAAACTTTAGCGACACGTAAATTCGGCACTGTTGGGAAACTAAACCAATGTCTGCACTATGATTTTTATTTTTATTTAATGTTCTGTCTGACGACAGGTCCATATGAACAGGATCCTTCCATCCTTTTCTCGGACCGGGACCTGTTCATATACGTTCTTGGCAGATGATCCAGAAGTGGTTTGCCATTGCCTTCTTCTGTGTGTGAATGGAGTAATTGTTGGGATGCCACGGAGGAAAACTCCGTGTTGCCTAGACCACGGCCTTGCCCAACACAAGTTATAAATTCGGGCACCGCCGGGAATCGAACCCGAGACCCCAGGATTACAAGATTTTATTTTTTACGTGATACTAAAATAAATCGCCCGATTTTCGACCGGGGTTTTCTTAAAATAAACTACGCTGAAATAGTGAATTTCCTTATTCATGATAACAAACTTAAAAATATACATTCACTTTGACCTGTTTTCTATTATTTAACCCAGTGGGCATGGCGATTATTTTATGAAGTAAATGGTTGCCAAGCAACGGAAAAGCGGTAGATCGCTTTAATCCTGTATTAACTGATTGTGATCGCCCTGAAACCTGGCGACAGACTGTACAAAGATTTACCACACCAAAAAGATCTGCTAAGACCAAATTATATCGGTCTTACATTCCAGCAGAGCAAACACATGTTAGGAGTCTGATGGTCAGATATTAAGAACTGAAGCCATCTTCACTCATTATAATCCGAACCAAGGTAAAACAATGTTAACGGCGTGAACAGAGTTCAAAATTTAGAAACGTAAAATTTTTTTTAAGTGCCGGGAATTCTGAAAATCACATACAGCATTGTTCGAAAAAAAAATTGTGGGCAAATGATCTTACGTTTTTTTACAACAAGAAGTCTTAAATAATGCCTGGCAACTTTTCATGTCTTAACATCAGTGCAGCTATCAACCTATAATTTTTTCGTTAAAGTCAAAAAATCTCACAGATATTGAGTTTTAAGCTCTTAGATATATTTTACACCTGATGATGGTTTTATAAAAACCGAAACATGTTGTGTAAATGTTCCGAAATGTAAATCGATCAATCGATAAGGAACATGAATGATATTTTATTATCTTAATTATAAGAAATTTTAAATATTGTGATAAGACGGATTAAAATAAATAATCTCACAGATAATATAAAAAGTTGTCCCTGGCAATTATTTCGCACCACGCAATGTAGACGTATGGGGGCATTTTTAAAGTCGACACTGGAAGGAGTTAACGTCACGCCCAGACGCCTTACCAGGACCCATTTGAATCGTGTTCTTGCCGGGAACCAAACCACGGTCGACCAGCTAGTAACCTAGTCACTAAACTGAGCTAGTTCCTCTGAAAGCACAAAGCACGAACATAACCCACTTAGAAAACTACATGTTGTTTTTCCTTTAACAACCTTCTAATACGATAATAATTTAGCGGTATTCACGTGTTTTCTAATGAATTTATCTGCGAGTAAATAAATGTCGCATGACAGTATCGTCCCTGGTAACAATATTAAGAATCGTGCATGTCAGCGTTAAACATGGATGTGTTGGGCAAGGCCGTGGTCTAGGCAACACGGAGTTTTCCTCCGTGGCATCCCAACAATTACTCCATTCACACACAGAAGAAGGCAATGGCAAACCACTGCTGGATCATCTGCCAAGAACGTATATGAACAGGTCCCAGTCCGAGAAAAGGAGGGAAGGATCCGGTTCATATGG